AATTTTAAAACACAACAAATATTCCTTTAAATCACAATCAACAATCAAAAGTCAATTTCAACATTCAATTCATTTTTATTCAATCAATTCAACAAGGGACACCGCCCACAACAATCCACAAATCCAAGTAAAATTGTCTGTTCTCCTTCTAAACTACTCCAATATCCATAACACAAGCATTCCCATCACCATCACCATTCAATTGAATCAAAGTAAGCACAACAAAGTTTATTGTCCCAAAAATTTCACTCTTTTTTTTTTTAAGTTTCCATTTCCATTTTTTTATTTGTTTTCCACTTTTATTTCTACAAGCATATATACAAATGACAAATAAATTTTAAAATATAAAATAAAATGAAAACAAAATAACAATAGTAAAAAATAAAGTAAACAAAATAAAAATGAAAATAAACTATTTGGCACATACCCGACCCAAAAGAGAGTAGACGAGAGTGAAACGAAGAGATTCGGGTCAAAATTGAGGTTTTTTGGCCTCACCGTGCCGGAGAAGATGACCGGAGACTTGCCGAAAAATGCACGGGTCGCCGGAGATGGCAATTGAGCTCTCCTTGGACTAAATCGGTCAAAAATGGTGGATTTGATAGAACCCGATAGAGATTAGTGCTTTAGAAAATGAGAAAGCTTGGCCGGATGGCCAAAAGCTTCATTGGCGTCAATGGAGGATGGCGGCGATGATTTGGCTTCCTTGGTGCTCGCCGGAGATAAAAGAGAGAGAAGGTGAGGGTTGGTTCCTGCTGGAGTGGGAGATTAAGAGATGGCCTAAGATGGAAAGGGAAATCGGGGAGAGAGAGATGGGTTGGCCGACATAAGAGAAGAGAATGAGAAGGAGGAAGAAAGAGAAGAAAAAAAGAAAGAAAAAAAAAAGAAAAAAGAAAAGAAAAATAGGGGAGGAGGGAAGAAAAAAAAAATTAGGGTTAGAAGATGAACGATTAAGCATTTTACAGAAATTCAAATGACGCATTTTCGATCGATCGAAGGACTTTGATTGATTGAAAACTTAACTTCGATCAATCCAAATGAACTTCGATCGATTGGAATGGACTTTGATCGATCGAAATGGAATTGAAAAGTCCTCAATCCAGCAGGTTCGATCGATCGAAGTGGGATTTCGATCAATTGAGTTCGATTGATCGAAACTTCACTGAAAGTGCACAAATTACAAGAAATTTTTCAAAAACTGGATTTTTCAATTCAACACATCTCTAGACGATGCAGAAAATATCAAAACAAGCAATGAGGGAGGAATAGGGTTGGCAAACCCTACAAAACACACTAGTCTTTAACGTTTTTAGCAAGATGTTGGGCTCTTTTAGCCCGGATCAAAAATCTTGGTATGCATCCCCTCCTTGGCGGGGTGAATGGAATTTTGAATCCCATCCAACAAACTATTCCCTAAGGAACTTGTTGGATTTGATTCAAATGAAATTGATGGTCCTTTATCAACAAAACTCTTGGGTTTCCATGCCCTTTCAACATTTGATTTGAAACACAATATCTTTTGAAACTTTCTTTAAAAGCAAACCATTTGAAATTTCAACATCAAACAAAGACTCATTTTTGTTAAATTCATTTTCAAGACATTTTTCAACAACACATAAATCCTTATGCTTGTCCATAGAATTTGGGGTTGGATTGAAAATGTTCAACTTTACTTTCATATGGCCAAATGAAATTTTCATTATCCCTGTCCTACAATTGATGTTGGCATTAGCGGTTGTCAAGAAGGGACGGCTAAGGATAACGGGAATTTGGCTCTTGGGATTTGGGACCGGTTTCGTGTCAATGACAATGAAATCAACCGGGAAGAAGAATTTATCAATTTTGATCAAAACATCCTCAATGATTCCCCGGGGCTTTTTAATGGATTAGTCGGCTAGTTGCAAAACTACTGACGTCAGTTTTAAATCACTTAAGCCTAATTGAACATAGACCGAGTATGGAAGAAGATTCATACTTGGTCCTAAATCAAGAAGCGCCCGATTAATCACATGATCACCAATGGTGTAAGAAGTATCCTTAAATTTTGGGAGAGTGTTGTGTTGCAAAATGGAGCTTACTTGCTCGGTCAAAACAACTCTTTTTGGTGCTTGGCTCTTGTTCTTCCTCTTAAGAGTACAAAGATCTTTCAAAATTTTGGCATAAGCCGGGATTTATCTAATTGCATCCAAGAAAGGAAGGTTGATTTTAACTTGCCGAAACACATCAATTATCTCATTTGTTTTGCTTTGTTGTTTTTCAAGAAAAACGGATCCTTTCAAGGCATTCGAAAATAGAGTCTTAGGCTCAAAAACTTTTTCACAATCATTTTTGGAAACATTTTTAACAATTGATTCTTTCACATGCAATGAAGGAGGAATAAGATGTGAGACGGGACGGGTGTCAACTTTGGGTTACACCGGTTCACTCTCTTCATTTGATTTACAAACTTGATTATCCACAATTCTTCCATTTCTCAAAGTGGTCACCGCATTCACATACTCTAGTGTATGACCTTCCGAAAAGGAATTGGTCTCCACTACAAATTGTTGCTTTGGTAGGGTATTTAAAGGCATTTTTTCTTTTTCCTTAGCATTCAATGTACTAGTTATTTGCCCGACTTGGGTTTCCAGCTTTGCTATCGATTGGGAATGAGAATGAAGCAATTTGGTATTTGCCTCCAAAGTACCCAAAGTGGTTAGAACTTTTTCTTCAAAAGCGGGACTCATAGAATTTCCTTGAGAATATGAAGATTGATTAGGAAAATGAGAATTTGAGAATTGGTTACCATGTAATGTTTGGAATGATGAACGATACCCTTGGGAACCTTGGCCTTGCATTGGGGGCGGAACATACTTATTTTGAAAACCACTTTGGGGAGGATTTGAGCATTTCCCTTGGCTTTTCCAAGAGAAGTTTGGATGGTTCCTCCACCCGGCATTATAATGAGTGCCATAAAGATTATTCCCTTGGTGAACAAAAGTGGCATTCACTTGTTCATGGTGTTCACTTTACACATGTCCATGGGGACAATTGGAAGTAGAATGTAAAACACTAGAACAAATCATGCAAGATTCATTGGAATTATGATGAACATGATTATGGGATGAAGACACTTGATGAGCCGAGTTTGGTTGATAAAAAATTGATCAAACCTTTGAGATACAGACTTGACTTCGGCATTTATGTCATTGGAATTGTCAACTTTATACAAACCAACATTCTTCCTCCCGCCTAAATTTCTACCATTTTTTATGACAAAGATCGATGCATTGAGTTTTTACTCATGCCCTCATAAAATCGCCAAACATCATTTTCATACTTATCAAGGTAAGAACCACCCATGGATGCATCAACCATACCCTTGTGATTATTCGGTAAACTTTCAAAGAAATATTAAACTAATTGCCACTTAGGAATGTCATGGTTTTGACACTTCCTAAGCAAGTCGTTAAATCTTTCCCATACTTCATGAAACATCTTCCCACCCTCTTGAGAAAATTCACGAATGGAAGTTCTCATAGCATTGGTTTTTTTCTTATTTTTATTTTCGATATTTTCATAGCAAAACATCGACAAAAAGCCTAAAACAAAACGCATCCCGAAGGAACAAATAAGCAAGTAAAAACACCATGTCATATTTTAGAAACACTTTGAAATCCTCACCATTTGTAGGATCAGTTTCCAAACCAAGTGTAGTAGTAGTACTTGGGAAGACATTGTAGCTGGTCGCAGTCACAACAATCATTAAATTATCACGAGACTCTTCCAACCATTTATTTATTCAGAAAATACTTATTCCAAAACGCACTTAAAAATATATTAAGTGTGTCTGTGTGTGTGTTGATAGGTAGCAAAATCATGGAGAATTAATGTAGACACAGAGAGAGAGAGTTGATAGCATATGTTAATTAGAGAGATTAAAAAAGAATACGTGATCAATTTTTAACTTCAAATGACAATGTTACTGATCGTAAGTGCCATGATTGCCACCGAAGTACCATAGCAGTTAATAGCCACATTGAAAGCTTATTCTTGGGAGGAAATTCAGTTGATGCTCCCGTTTCTCATGTGTTTTGTTTCTATTATTTTTGTTTTTGAGTTATTACAGTATTGATTTTGACAATAAAAATATATTTGGTGTGACTTTGTTTTATTTTATATAGTGTTAAAACACTTCGTGAACAGTGACCTAAAACTAAGACACTAAAAAATTATTTTTTCTTATTTTGACAGCTGTTCATGGTCTAAAGCCATAAAAGTTGTTTTTCCTTATCTCTGTTTCCGACATTTTCATAGCAAAACATCATTCTCATAAGTGCTTTTGATTTTTTTTTTCTTGTCAAAACACATACAACAAAAACATTGTTTCTATTTTAGCAAAAAAAAAAAAAAAAAAAAAAAAACTAAACACCTAAAACAAAGCGCATGCCAAACAGAGAAGCAAGTAAAGACACGTAAACTCTCTTATTTCCACGAACTGTACATCTCTTGGACAATGATCTAAAACATCCAAACCTCAATAAATATCAAACTCTATTTTTATTTCTTTTTCTTTTTTTTTTTTCTTCAAAAAAATAGAAAAACACATTTGTTCTAAATTAAATTTCACACTCCACGACGATTGCAAAAGAACCACTTCACATAAAAAGTACAAATGTATTGAATAACCCGCACTAGTTCATAGGTTATGACATGAGATTTAAAGTACGAACTTGTGCAAATGAAGGAATTAGAATTCACACTTACTAAATACGTTTCATTTAGGCACACAAGATCGATCCTACCATCCAATTTGAACCCATACTCGGTACACTGAATATGGTTCGCCCAGGCACCCAAAGTCATTCCTACAACCCAACTCTGCCATACCCGCAGGGGCACCAATGTCACTTTCTTTCTCTCTTTGTTTTTTTAAATAATTATTGTAAGAGACTTGGACTTGGTATCCTGGACTAGTACATTTACTATTTAGGACCGTTAAGTGTTTGAGGCCCAAGGTCGGATCCAATCCATTACAGAGCGTTGTAGTAGTAGTATCTACAAAGTACCTTCCTTTTGCACAAAGGGTGTGTTGAGAGAAAGATGGCCAGTACGTCGTCGTTGTTGTCGTCGGCGGTGACGGAGGAGGAGGTGACGCTGACGGTGAAGTGGAGCGGCAAGGAATACACCGTCAGAGTGTGCGGTGATGATACCGTTGGAGAATTGAAGCGGCGAATATGCGAAGTCACAAATGTACTACCCAAACGCCAGAAGCTTCTCTACCCCAAAGTCGGATCAAAACTCGCCGATGACTCTCTCCTTCTCTCCCAACTCCCCCTCAAATCTTCCCTCAAAATGACCATGATCGGGTTTGTCCTCTCTCAATCTCTCTATATATGTTTATATATACATATATGTGTGTGTGTGTGAGCACAAGGTGTTTGATAAATTGGTTACTTCTATTTTTCTCTCCTGTTTACTTGCTTTTCTTCGATTGGGTGGTTATGCTACAGTTGTGGATGCTATTATGAGAAATTGGGATGCTTAATCATAGAATGAAACATAGAAAGTAGATGGTATAATTTGATTGTGAATAAACTGATAATCAATGAATGTAAAAATAGAATGGCCCTGTTTATATCTTGCCTAATATTAAAGCACCGTTTGCCCTTTATACTATGCTGTTCTAATCATAAATGACTAAAACTAGAGGGGAAACACAATATGCAATTTTTTATTACCTAGTGCTTTTTCTTTTTTTGGTGGGTATCTGGTTATTTTATAGTGCCTCATCGTGACTACATGTACTCTTAAAAAATTCTCGTATTGCCAAGTAGTAGCTGATAAGACAATGCCGCGTTTAGGCTAAAAAAACATAAGAGCAGATTGGGAAAAAAAATGCAGTTGAGGCATCCTTGGATGCTCTATTACATAAAACTCAAATGTGCAGTTTCATATTCTAGAGAGGGGCCATTCAATTTATATATATGGCAGTCAAGCATGCTCAAGTAAACTGAGCAAACATAACAAATGAAATATCAAAAAGTGCTTGTTGGCAAATGGCAAAGATTTAACAACGGAAAAATTTCATAAAATCTTCAACAATTTTGTTCATGAGAACTTAGAAAAAGAAAAAAGAGTTAACGGTGTGTCTGTAAAGGTCTTCTTGGAATAACTCGTTATACTGTCTTCTTCATATTCAACTTCTTCTGACGATCTTGAAAATGAGAAACTGAAAAGCAACACTTGATCTTTTAAAAAATGCAAAATTGCAAAATTTTATATTTGGAAATGTAAAATCAATAAATGTTTAATATTTAAAAAAAAAAAAAAAAACACAAGATTCATGCTACACTAAGTAAATGAAAAAAAATCTAAAGTTCCAATATATAAAGTAAGTCAGATATGATAAATCTGCAGCTTAAATCTGAAAAGCAACACTTAGATTGTATTGGCCTCCAAATCAGTAGAACTAACTTCTGATTAGTAGATATGGCCTTTGATACGAGTTTTGGAGCCCTAGAATAGTGTAGAAGATAGAAGCAGTTGAAAAAAGTGGGGAAATTGAGTTTTGGCATGCAAAGATGTGTTTTTGACTGAGTTAATGCTATGCTTCATTAGGATGGACATTACATATGTGGTCTTTTACCCCTGATAAATAGGGTTAGTGATGGGATCTGCACCTTCACAAGTATGTGGGTGTGTGAGTTTGGGATGTGCACCTTCACAGTTATGTGGGAATGTGAGTTTCTTGCCAGGATTTTCTTTTTCTTTTTTCTTTTTTTAAAAAAAAAACTCAGATACATTCAAACTGAAAAAATGCCAAGACAGACCACCATATAATACCGAATACAAAAAGACTTGCAACATAATCAAAACACATAAGACTTTTTATATTTTTATTTAAAGCTTTTATTGAAAGTAAAGCAACCTTAATATGCACCTTCTTCTTCCTGAACTATTTTCTAAGAATCACATCCCAGCCAATCTTAGGTATTTGGAGTTGAAGATGGTTGTCCACTTTCCACCCTGTGCCTGTTGTTGTTGATCCAATTCTTGAATACCTGTGGTGTGATCCCAATATCCACACAAAACAGTCTTATCTCTTCCTCATCATGCTTCCGTGCTCTCCAACTCAACTTGTCCGCAAACACCCTCATCTGTTCCTTCTGCTCCGGCGTCAGCCTCGTCCTCCCCTTCTTCTTCCTTGTCCCCACTTCCTCTATGATCTCCCCTCCGTTCAGCCCCTCTGCCTCCACTTCATCTGGTGGCAGATCATTGTATGGTGCAATGTAGGGTTGTGGTAGTGGTGCTGATAGTGGTGGCAGTGGTGGCAGCGGCGGAGGAGGAAAAGTGACGGTGGTGGTGAGGCGGTAGCGCGTGGTGGGAGGGTAGTGGTAGACGGGTGACGGCTCCCACTCTTCCTTCCTGTGGAAGCTGCGGTGGCAACTGCAGGCCTCACAGAGAAATGCCTCTGGAGTTCCGTCCTCCCCGGCTGGTGTGAAGTTACAGCACCCGTCGACAGCGTAGAGCATCACCGGTGCCGCGTGGTTTCGTTGGCACTCTCTGTACCTAACAATAATCTCAGACCTACCAGCTGTACCATTGTTGGTTGCCATGCGAAAGACGGAGAAATTCATGAGTGTGTATGTTATTTTAGGGTGTTTTTTGTGTGTGTGTGTGTGTGTGTATGATTTTTATATATATATATATATATATATATAGAGAGAGAGAGAGAGAGAGAGAGAGAGAGAGAGAGAGATGCTAATCTGGTACTTCTGGCAGATCAGCAAAACCGTGACCATTATTAGATGCTGTGCAGTGAATGAGTCGCTGGAATTGCCATTAGAACATTAAGACAAAATTGTGGTCATGAGACTAATCACTTAGTCCGTCAGTAATTAGCCTGTTTTTGAGTGCCAAAACATGTGACAAAAAGATGGCAAAACCTATACAAGCAACTTATTTTTTCTAGAAGAAAAATAAAAAAAAATCTTATTTATTTATTATTATTATTTTGGGGAGTAGGAGAACAAATATATTTTACCCTTTTGAACGCTTTTCTAATATATTTTACTTATCAAAAAAAAAAACCATCTCTTTAAAATGAGCTTGTAATTAATAATTAGTTTTTAGCAATATTTTATATATGGTCATTAAGCATCTGAGTGGTTGCCAGAATTACTATGTTTTTATTAAATTATGTTAAAATGGACAATAAATACGAAGGTTTAAATTTAATAAGATTTAACATATATGTCCAAATATGATTGGTTTAAAACTTGAAAATCCAATTGAAGCAAAAGTTTATTTGACTTTTGATATAAATATTCTCAACTACTTTGGAATGAATGATGGAAATTTGTTGGGAAAGGTGTGCTAGAGATATCTCTAAAAAAAGAAACCAGTGTTTTCATCCCATTATTTAATTGAATAGAAAGAAATAAAAAAGTAAAGGAATGAATATGGTGTAATTAATTTTGACTTATCTTCTTTAATAATAAAAAAGCGAAAAAATATATTGTGAATAGTTTATCCAGTCTTATCCTTTCTTGGCCTCCTTGAGAATTAAACTAGGGCAAAGTGAGAAAAACACCCTAATGTTTAAATTTTGGGCAAATATCACCCCTAACATCTTTTTTGGGTATATAAGTGCGTTAAGTTTGAAAAAATGATCAAAGAAGGGCTTGAGGTCATTGTTTCGTTACAAATCAATGCATATGACATTTTTAAGGTATAAAATCCCGAAAATACCCTTTTCTCTTTCGCTAATGCCCTTATATATAAGAAGAAGAAGAAGAAAGAAAAAAAAAAAGGGCAAAGTGAGAAAAACACCTCTAATGTTTACATTTTGGGCAAATAACACCCCTATTGTTCATATTGTGTATATAACTCCGTTAAGTTTGAAAAAATGAGTAAAGAATGGCTTGAGTTCACTATTTTGTTAAAAATTTAGTATGATATAAAATTTTGAAAATATCCATATATCTTCCGATAATGCCATTATATATATATATACATTGAACAGAAAAGAGGGACACTTTAGTCATTTCACATTTAATTATTATTTTTTACCTACTTTTTATTCAATTATAGAGGGACACTTTAGTCTTTTCAGCAGTCAAGTCTTTATTTGCTCCAAAATTGAATGTTAGAGATTTTTTAAAACGTATAGGGGTTATACACTCTATATACATACCATAGCGGTATTTTTACTCGTGACCCAACAAAAAAAGAAGAAGGACACTTTAGTCATTTCACATTTAATATATATATTTTTTTGACCTTTTTTTTCTTTATTCAGTTATAGAGGGACACACTTTAGTCTATTCAGCATTCAGGTCCTTGTTTGCTCAAAAATTGAATGTTAGGGATTTTTCAGAACGTACAGGGGTTATACACTCTATATGCATACCATAGGGGTTTTTTTCGTTCACGACCCATTAAACTATTAGAAGCAACAAAGAGTGTAAATCTATTGTTTTTCCAACGACAATGGTTTCAAGGGTTCTTTATTAGGGCAACAAATGAGGTATAATAAATGAAGCTATTAAACACAAGTGCGAGGGCCACAAAGATGATCTAGATGAAGGAGGAAAAGTAGACTAGCCAATGGGATTTATGGTGAAAGTAGGGATGTTTGTTTCTGTACTGGCTCTTTGTGGTTATGAGTGTTAGTACATAGATTTGCTCTCCCTTTAATGCCCGCCATCGTGATTCATGCAATTTTTTATTTATAGGGTTAGATTTGTTAGGTAATACCCAGTGGTCCTCGACCTCATTGGTTTTCACCTCGTACTTAGAGTCACAGGAATGCCTCTAAGCACCTAAGGGGTCAATTCCTTTCTTTCACTATGCCTTAGTGCGGTGTGGCGTGCTAAGTTTTCTAACACATGCATTAAATGTATTTGGCTGGACAATAGTCACGGTAATTGAAACATTAATGGGCATCAATGGTGATTGTAAGGGTTTTTGTCATAGCAAGTGATCACCATCCTTTTGGCTAGGCTAACTACTTGCATTGGGCATCTGCTGACTTCTCATCCACTAATCTAAAATCCTTTTAAGTGTCTCCCATAGTAGTCGTCTGTATGTGAGAAGGTCCTACCTTTATCTCGTTTGGTACTTAACAACAGGGGCGAACTGTTCAAGGGACCAAGGGGGCCATGGCCCCCAGAACTTTTCAAAGCTAGTATATATGCCTGGTGTGCTAAACTGCTAATTAGGACTAATGTTGCGTTTGGTATGCATGCATGGAATGGAATGGAATTGCCATTCTCATTCTATTGTTTGGTTTCAACTGTGAAATGTGTCGGAATGAAATGATAATTACCATTCTAGTGTTTGGTTGGACCAATTTAAAATTTAG